GTTATAGAATTTATAAGAAGAGCCCTAAATTAATTTTTTCCTTCTTATTTCTGTAGCTTTGAGCTGACAATGAACAATTTAGGGCTCTTCTTATAAATCCTATAACTTTGCAAAGAAAGGTCGTGTAGAGCTGGGAGATGTTTCATTTTAATCAGAAATTTGCGCGCTACAATCCTGCCTGATTAAGAAAGCTTTTTGTCATTTTTTAGAGTTTCTGAAAAACTGGTTTTCCAGAAGACTGGATCTTCGAAGAACTATGGGGAAGACCCATGGTCATATTCGGAATCAGCAGGATCGATAACCTATAATCCACTAGATGTCGATCAAAAGCGATTTATCACCTCGTGAAGTTCCCCTGTCTGTATTTTCAAAAGTAATTAAAATATTATCCCATAGAAAAGAACATGATAAGCAACTTCTGCACGCACATTTCCCCTCCAAAATGCTTCTCCACAGAAAAACAGCAGGTAAGATCTCGAAAAAGCATATTTTCAGTCCCAAAAAACCATTCTCAAGCTCAAATTCGAATTTCTCCACCAGACCTTGTCCGGGAACGATGACAATCTTTTCATATATACATCTTGAGGTGAGCTATCGATTAATTACAAATCCAAGGTTTCAAACTGAGAAGTAAAAATTTTATTTAAATTTGAACAAATAGGCTAAAAGAGCCGAAAACAAAACTGAAAATTTTTTTTCCAAAAAAACTACTAGTCCGTAAACCTTCCAAATTCTTTTCATACATATTTTGATGTAATCATACTGAACTGAATATGTCTCTAGTGTAAATTTTAGAAAGTTGTAGTGTATCAGTTATTCAAAACAGTTAAGAAATCAAATAGTTACAAAATTAGATTATCTCTAATTTTAGACGTATTCAAAACAAAAAAAATACAATTATGCTATATAGTGTTAAGTTGTAGACCAATAATATTTATTATAAAAGTCATAATAATAGATCAGATAATGAACATAATCTATTCAACTCAATTGAGTTCACTTTTTTTATTCGTTTTTACCAGTATGACTGTGATGAGTGTCGAGATGGCCATCGTTGCTGATTTGATCGTGAAAAATTTTGCCAATAAGGATCATCCGACGATGAATTATAATGACGTGAATGATGATTATTGTTAAAATGATTTTCTCGCTCTGGATAAGATTGATGTCGATTGAATGTTGATTGATGAAATGAAGATTTTGGAGATCTGTAAGAATTATGTTCATAATTATTTCTATCTCGTCGTGATTGATATTGTAAATCATCGTGTTGATAATTATTACGAGAATAATAATCGTCATCATCGTAATATTGTTGACCACGAAAATAACCATTGTGATCTAAAAAACAAAAGAAGATAAAAATGACGGGATTTTTAAAAAGTGTATTTGTAATTTATAATGTTTTCTATTACTTCTTTGAAGATCAAAGATTGACTTAAGGGTACCCTTCCTCCTAATTTTGAGCTTTCCGAAGAAATGCTGTGAAATAAAAACTAAAACTCACTAAAGCTTTATATTTTCAGAACTGATTGGAAACTCAATGGAGCACTATTTGTTTTTGTTTCAAGTTTTTAACTATTGCCGTTCACCAATTTTCCAGAAAACTCGGATTTTCATTGGACCACATTACGATCCCCTTTAAATTTCATCCGATTGAATTCAAAATTTTACCAGAGGTACTCACGGTCATTGCGCAGAAGCAAAGTATTTTTTTGAATATTCTTTTAGACCTTTCTTTACCGAGTTATAGGAAAAATACTGAAAAACTTTCAAACAAAAACAAAAAGTGCTTCATTGAGTTTCCAATCAGTTCTGAAAATATAAAGCTTTAGTGGATTTTAGTTTTTATTTCACATCATTTTTACAGAAAGTCCAAAAATGAGGAGGAGGGTACCCTTAATATAAAGAATTCACATTTTACCTTCATGTTGATGTTGAAGATCTGGATTCGCGTAAACATGTGCCATCGATTTAAGATAATCTTGATAAGTCACTTGTCCACGATTATGAACGTCCATATTATGAAATACTCGATTAACTTCTCGATCATCATAGTCGATACCAGCACGTTCAAGAGAACTTTTTATTTTTTCGGGTGTTATTAATCCTTGATGATCATAATCAAATTGATAAAAACCATGTGTTATTTCATCAATTTCTTCTGCACGTAATTGTTCAACATCTGACCATGAATTTTGTGAAGTGTAAGAGGGTCTAGACATATTTCTAGAGAAACTGATCAATACAATTTGTTATACGTATTTATTATTGTAATGTGTTTACATAGATAGTGGATTATGCTTACTCATGCATTGAAGGATATATTTGTCATCAAAGAAATTTTACTACGAAATAATGATCATCAAGGTGATATACACGTAACCTCGTCATTCATGGTTTATAAATGTTCGTCATTACTATAGTTTCATTCAGACGCAAGTTATACTTAAAGTACCATAACCTTGCTGTGATTATATAATCACTTATTTCTGTTAAACAGAGAATTGAGAAGAATTGAGAAAGACATCATGAAGTATAATTTTGAGTGACAAAATGGATAGATTATGTTCATTAATGTTTTAATACTATTATGAGAAAGAAAACTTCATTTAGACTGATATAAATTTCCGATAATCTCAATGTTTTTAGCTTTTCTTCCAGTTAGAAATGACGATTTGGTTCAGTCCTGATTCATCGACAAATTAAAGCCAATTAAGAGATTTTACTGTTTTGTTGACGCAATCTTTTTTTCGTTTCGTCGACACTTTAAAATTCCTATTAGGTTGACAAAATTTTATTTCTGTTTTGTCTACAATTTTTTTATTCTAAAACGTCGACCAAAGTTGGCAGTGTATAAAAGTAATTCCCTAAACGTCGGCACAATTTTCTTCTAGCAGAATTTATAAGCTGAACAGTGCACTGAGTGACTTCGCCATATGGGCTATAATAACTATAGTGAATTTTCTTCGACTTTGCATATCATCGACTATAAAGTATTGAAACGAGTTAAAATTAATAAGTAATACACTAAAATGTACTCAGTTATCGAAACACAGAAAGGAAAACCATGTTTACTATTTAATGGCTATCGGTATTTGAAAGATAGAACGCGTAATAATAATGTCTATTGGCGTTGTGAGAATCGATCCAATTGCTCTGGTCGTGCTGCACAAGAAGACAGTAGTACTCCAATTCTTATAGCATCACACAATCACGAACCAGATGAAAAACTTAATGTCTGTGAAGAATTTCGTACAATACTGAAACGTCGAATACGCGACGAACAATTGTCTGTAAGGAAATGATTCCGTTCAGAATTAATATCTGTTCAGACAACAAATCCAAGTGGTGTCTCGATATTGCGACAGTTTCTGGAAATTAAAAACTCATTGAATCAATTAAAAATTGAAAACTATCCAAGTCTCCCAAAATTAATTGATGATGTGAAGATTGAAGATATGTTATGTATTTGGGAGTGTTCTTTTATTGCGAGTGAAAATTGTGATGCTATTAGATGAAATTGACGCTTTATGGTGTTCAATAATAGATGATTATTCACATTAGTGAATACTATATCATTCTATGATTATGTCACAGAGACATCGATCGATAATGAGCAGGCAATGTTCGAGAAACCTCTCTGGAATTATTGCGATTTTCCTGGCGCCAGAACGAACAATTCAGTTGAATTGGTCGTTCTGGCGCCAGGAAAATCGAGCGG